ACTATATCCAACATCTTTAATTACAACTAAACTATGTACTGGCTGCAATCTTAATTTCAATCTTATTACTAACAAATATACAACATTTATTCCTATTAATTTTGCAACTAAATTTATTAGAAAATTCAATACTCAAAATCAACAACTTAATCTTAATGCAAATTATCTTGATTTGCTCTATTCTATCATTATTCAACATCCTATTCAAATTCTTAATGCTGCTAATATCTATATATCTGCATTACTTATTTTATCTGTTTTCAACAATTATGATCTTACCAATACTCTGCAATCAATTGCCAACTTAAACTACAACAAGTTTGAACTTCATTTTTATACTGATAATTCAATTATTCAGGCAGGCACATTTCAATGCTCAATAAGAATTAGATGGACCTTGGTACAAAACAACAATATCTTACATATCTTCTAAGCACAAACTAAGTTCTAGCTATGTTTCTTTAAAGCAGAAATTACTGCAATTCTTTCTGCTATTATTACTGCATCCAGAAACTGTACAGTATACATCTATACTAACTTACAATTTGCTATATCTAAATACAACAGTACCAATTTAACATCACTCAAATTATCATTTATCAATACTTCATATCACTTACTTTGGTATACTTTAATTAACTTTACAAATTCTTACAATATACAATTTATTCTGCATAAAGTAACTATACATAAGAATAATAAATTTAATAACCTTGCTAACAATCTTACTCATAATTATTTAACCTTCTATACCTACTATTTAATCTACAAAATTATTATAATTCTAACTATACACTACAACTTAATAACTATTTTATTGAACTATCTATCTGTTATTATATCTGCACAATTTGCCATGCCCATATTTATGTACTATGGTCATCTTAACATCACTTTCAAAAATGGTCACAAATTGCAACTTAAACTAATTAGAAAGCCACCTGGCTTTATATTAACAATAATCAAAAAATAATAAACTACTCTCACAGCTTTCAAACATCTCAACTTAAGTTTTTTCATATAAAAATCCTTATAGATGATCTTCCAACTCTATATAATCTATATAAATATAACTATATCCAATCTTCTAACTGTTACCAATGTAACCAAATTAGCACTTCACTTTACTGGACTACTTGTCCATCTTCACATCTTCTCAACAATCTTATCAATGACTCACTTAAACATGTTCTTAATACATCTATTCTTGATACAACACCAAGAACTGTAACTAATCTGCATAACCAAATTAAAAATCTTAACTGTATGCAAAACTACAATATACCAAATTCATTCTTTCTAACATTAACACTGTCTGGTCTAATTCTTTATAAATTAATTAATTTAATCAAAAATATTATTCTATCTAATAAAACTGCTACTACACTTTCAATTAAACTTCTGCTTTATCTTAACTAACAAATCTATATACATATTTGAATATTATATTGTGCTTCTAGGCCTTAACTTAGCAAACAATCTCAAACAACTTCAACATCTGGGTGGTTAAAAGTAGAAACTACCGAATTTGGTAGATCATTAATTTTGAAATAATCGAATAAACATAACTTTGTTACACAAGATAAAACTAGTCTAAAAATAGCATAATCTGATTATTAACTTGTTTCATTATGACTATGTAATTTGAATTTCTACATGCAAACTAAAATGTTAATTAATTTTAATTTTTTTAGATCGTCTTTATGTCTTTATGTTGACATATTTCACTTACAATAATAGTTTTTTTGTTGGTTAACATGGTTTCTTTTTTTTTAGGTCATCACTTTTGTAGTGATGTTTTTCATTTTTAATGGAGGTTCTTCTTTAACATAGTTTTATTCATTTAATTAATAAGGTTTGTTTCATTGTTCTGCAATAATTCTTTATGAATTTTTAAGTTCTTTAGTTTCTTTTGGAATGTTCTTCTGACGATTTTTGAAGATTTTTGGTTACTTCTAGCATTTTTTGATGGCTTTTGGAGGTTTTTCTAATAACTTTTAGAAGGTTCTTTCTGGATTCTTGTTACTTCTGATGTTATTTGGTAGCTTTTGGAGATTCATTTGCTGACTTTTTGGTGTTTCTTTCTGAATTATTGGTACTTCTAGTGTTTTTTGAGTTTTTGAAGATTCTTCTGATGACTTTTGGAGGCTCTTTCTGGATTATTGGTACTTCTGGCATTTTTTGGCTGTTGGAGGTTCTTTTAATGACCTTTTGGTGTTTCTTTCTAGATTTTTAGTATTTCTGGCATTTTTTTGGTGACTTTTGGTGGTTTTTTTTTGGATTTTTGATACTTTTGGCATTTTTTGGCGGCTTTTGAAGTTCTTCTAATGACTTTTTTGATGGTTCTTTCTGGATTCTTGGTACTTTCAGCATTTTTTGGAGTTTTTTTGAAGGTGCTTCTGATGACTTTTGGAGTTTCTTTCTGAATTCTTAGTACTTCTGGTATTTTTTGAAGTTTTTTTGAAGGTTCTTCTGATGACATTTGAAGGTTCTTTCTGAATTCTTGGTACATCCAGCATTTTTTAGTGGCTTTTGGAGGTTCTTCTGATGACCTTTTGGTGTTTTTTTCTGGATTCATGATACTTTTAGCGTTTTTTAATGACTTTTAGAGGTTCTTCTGATGATTTTTTGGTATTTATTCAGGATACTTGAGGTTCTGATGGCTTTTTGGAGGTTCTTTCTGAATTTTTGGTATTTCTAGCATTATTTGAAGGTTCTTTTGATGACTTTTTGATGGTTTTTTCTGGATTTCTGGTACTTCTGGTGTTTTTAGGCAGCTTTTAGAGTTCTTCTAATAATTTTTTTGGTGTTTCTTTCTGGATTATTGGTACTTTTGGCATTTTTTGGAGTTTTTTTGAAGGTGCTTCTGATGACTTTTGGAGTTTCTTGGTACTTTTAGCGTTTTTGGGTGGCTTTTAAAGTTCTTCTGATGACTTTTGGAAGTTCTTTCTGGATTTCTAGTACTTCTAGCATTTTTTGGTGGCTTTTGGCATTCTTCTGCCAATTTTTTTGGTGTTTCTTTCTGGATTATTGGTACTTTTGGCATTTTTTAGAGTTTTTTGAAGGTGGTTCTAATAACTTTTGGAGTTTCTTGATACTTCCAGTATTTTTGTGTGGCTTTTGGAGTTTTTCTAATGACTTTTGGAGGTTCTTTCTGGATTCTTGGTACTTTTGACATTTTTTGATGGCTTTTGATATTCTTCTAACGACTTTTTTAATGTTTCTTTCTGAACTCTTAGTACTTTTAGCATTTTTTTGGAGTTCTTCTGATAACTTTTAGAGGTTCTTTCTGGATTTTTGATACTTTTGGCATTTTTTAGTGGCTTTTGACATTCTTCTGATGACTTTTTTGATATTTTTTTCTGGACTCTTGGTACTTTCGGCATTTTTTTGGAGTTTTTTTGAAGGTGCTTCTAATGACTTTTGGAGTTTCTTGGTATTTCCAGCATTTTTGAGCAGCTTTTGGAGTTTTTCTGATGACTTTTGAAGGTTCTTTCTGGATTCTTGTACTTCTGGTATTTTTTGGTGGCTTTTGGTTCTTCTGATGACTTTTTTAGTATTTCTTTCTGGATTCTTAGTACTTTCAGTGTTTTTTGGAGTTTTTTTGAAGGTTCTTCTGATGACTTTTGGAGGTTCTTTTTGAATTCTTAGTACTTTCAGTGTTTTTTAGAGTTTTTTTGAAGGTTCTTCTGATAACTTTTGGAGGTTCTTCTGATAACTTTTGGAGGTTCTTTCTGGATTCTTGGTACTTCTAGCATTTTTTTGTTGGCTTTTGGCATTCTTCTGATGACTTTTTTGGTGTTTTTTTCTGGATTCTTGGTACTTTCAGTGTTTTTGAAGTTTTTTGAAAGTTCTTTTGATGACTTTTGGAGGTTCTTTCTGGATTCTTGGTACTTCTGGTGTTTTTTGGTGGCTTTTGGCATTCTTCTGATAACCTTTTGGTAATTCTTTCTGGATTCTCGATACTTCCAGCATTTTTTGGTAACTTTTGGAGTTTCTTAAGTTTTTTTTTGGATTCTTGGTAACTTCAGCATTATTTGGAGGTTCTTCTGATGACTTTTTGGTGTTTCTTTCTGGATTCTTGGAACAACACAATTTGAATGTCACTTAAACTGCTATTTGAACTGTTATTTAACACTATTACATGATTTCACAGACATGTGTTTTCACAAAATTATTTGATAGTGTTGAATGCCAGTTCAAATGAAAATTTGAGCAGCATTCAAATTGTGTCATTCAGCATGTTGAATCTTTTAAATGTTACTAATGAAAAGCATATGTGATTTACTTATACAGATTTGCATTAAAAATTTTTTGATCGAATAAATATTAGTTTTGGATTTTTTTGTATTTCTTATTAAATATTCTTTGTTTTTTATATATTTTTAGATTAAAATAAAATATTGTATTTATAATTAGATTATAAATTATAATTTTAATAAATATTATAAATTAATTATTTAAATAGTTGTTATTTTTATTATGAAAAATTTTTTATTAATTAATTTTTAAAATTTTTTTATATATAAATTTTTTTAATAATTAAATTTAAAATTTCTAAAATATTATATTTTAATATATCACATACTCTATTTAATAGTATTTTTAGTGAAACTCATTCTGAGTTAGCTTCTTTAAATACTAATATTTTATAATTACAAAATATTTATCAATCTACTTTTATTGAAGAAGCAAATAATTCTAAATTTTCAGAACAGAATAATAATGAAATTAATAATTTTATTAGTAGTGAGTCATTTTATAACTTTGATAATAATATTTTTTCTCAAGTTGAAATTAATAATTTTTATAAAATATTTAATCAAAAATCTGAGTCTTTTATTAATAAAGTTGATAAGAAACAAAAAATGCTTACTGATCAAGATATTAATACATTTTGTAATAAATTTGACTTATTTGAATGTTGTTCAACTTTGCAATATACAAAATATATTATTAATCATGAAATTGCAATAAAAAAATAGAAAAATATTCAAATGATGTCAAAAGATGAAAAAAATATGTTTTTATTAGGTATTCTTAATGCATTAGTTAGAAAAGAAACTACAAAAAATAATATTAACAAAAAATATTTAACAAATGAATATCAATTTGATGGAAATCATATTTGTTTAGAAGCTTTTTTATTAATGTATAATGTTTCAGAATGGAAATGGAAATCAATTCGTAAACATTTTTTAAAAAATGATATTTTACCAATTACTTATTAACTTAAAGGAAAAATTAGTAATAACAAAATTTCATTTAAATAATTATAAATATTTTAATATTTATTTCAAATTATGCTAATATTCATGGACTTTCATCTTCTGGTATAGTATAAATTTTTTAAAAATTATTTAATTTTAATTATAATAATAATAATATTATTTTAGATCGTCATTTTAATGAAAAAACAAAACCTATTATTTTTCTTCCAGCAACTGATAATTATTTAAGTTTATTTCATTTATATAATTCAATAATTTCAAATACTTCTAATATATCAATTAGTTCAACAAGTTTTA